GGGGGCGGAGGGGATGCGAAGTGACTGCTAACCGGGTGTGGGATTCTTTTTTGGGGTGATGAACTATTGTATAATTAGATAGTGGTAACAGTTGCACGGAAAACCAATAAAGACGCTTTTTTTAAAAAAAAAATATTTATTTATTTTTGGCTGCGTTGGGTCTTCGTTGCTGCGCGCAGGCTTTCTCTAGTTGTGGCGAGCGGGGGCTACTCTTCGTTGTGGTGCGCGGGCCTCTCCTTGCAGTGGCTTCTCTTATTGGGGAGCACCGGCTCTAGGCGCACGGGCTTCAGTAGTTGTGGCGCGTGGGCTTAGTAGTTGTGGCCCACGGGCTTAGTTGCTCTGCGGACCAGAGCTGGAACCCGTGTCCCCTGCACTGGCAGGCGGATTCTTAACCACTGCGCCACCAGGGAAGTCCCTAATTACACTTTAAAATGGTGAATTGTATGGTATGTGAATTATATCTCAAAACGAACCAAAAAAGGTTAAAAAAGAAGGGGAAAATTGGGGGAAAAACGTGGTGTGGGTGGAATACCAAAACTCAGTTACCAAGATGGCAGTGTATTTTAAATGTCTTAACATACAAGAAATTCACACTTTCGACACACACACGGACTATGTAACAGTCTTTAGAAACAATGGCAGAAGTTAAACTTTGAGGCCTTTCATGAATGTGAGGTGGGATTCAATGGGGCTACTGCCTTCTCTTCAGAGTCGGTGCCTCAATGAATATTACCTCCCAAATCATACACTGAGCTCCCAGAAGCAGGGGGTCATTGGAAACCCAAACAGCAGATGTAACCTCTGACCTCATGGAAATCAGTTCCTCTTTGCTTCTTTTCCTCTATTTTTCCTTCCTTCATTGTCACACCAAATTCCATTCTTTTTCTCCCTCTCTCTTCTATTTGTTTACCCTATTTTAATTATTAATTTTTTGGTTTTTAACTTTTCATTTTGAAATAATTCCAGACTTTCTGAAAACTTGCAAAAATAGTACAGAGTTCCCAAATATTCTTCAACCAAGCTTCCCCAAATATTGACATCTTACATCACCATAGTACAATTTTCAGAATGACTGATGTAATACTGTTACCCAGTCTACAGACCTTATTCAAACTATTGCCAATTGTCCCACTAAAGTCTTTTGTCAAGGACTGGCTTTCAATTCTGGATCACTTTGCCTTGTATTGAATTGTCATAGATCACTTTAGTCTCCAATCTGGGGCACTAATCAGTTATATCGTAGATTGTTCCTCAGTTTGTCGACCCTACTGTTATGGGCTGCATTGTGTCCCCCCAAAATTCATATGTTGAAGCCCTAACACCCGGTACCTCAGAATATGACTGTATTTGGAGATAAGACCTTTAAAGAGGTGATTAAGTTTAAAATGAGGCCCTGGGACTTCCCTGGTAGTGCAGTGGTTAAGAATCCACCTGCCAATGCAGGGGACACGGGTTCAAGTCCTGGTCCGGGAAGAACCCACATGCCGTGGAGCAACTAATCCCCTGCACCACAACTACTGAGCCTGTGCTCTAGAGCCCGCAAGCCACAACTACTGAGCCCGCGTGCCACAACTACTGAAGCCCACGCGCCTAGAGCCCATGTTCTACGACAAGAGAAGCCACTGCAATGAGAAGCCTGCGCACTGCAAAGAGTAGCCCCCGCTCGCCGCAACTAGAGAAAGCCTGCGCACAGCAACGAAGACCCAACGCAACCAAAACCTAATTAATTAATTAATTAAAAAAAATTTTTTAAATGAGGCCCTTAGGATGGGCCCTAATCCAATCTGACTGGCGTCCTAATAGGGAGGAAATTTTGACACACAAAGAGACACGAGGGCAGTGCATGCACAGAAGAAAGATCATGTGAGGACATGGTGAGAGGGAGGCCACCTGCAAGCCAAGGGGAGAGGCCTCAGAAGAAACCAAACCAGCTGACACCTTGACCTTGGACTTCTAGCCGGGAGAACTGGAGAAAATATATTTTTTAACGCACTTTGTGGTATTTTGTTCTGACAGCCCTAGGGCAGATTAATACACCCATTCTCTTCAGTTCTTGGGAATCTGCCAATTTCTGTGTTCTTTGACCCTTTCTATCCACCCATATGCTGATTCTCATCCCTCCCCTCTTCTTGTGCTTGTTACTGGTCCCAAGCAAATCTTTCTGTCAGACTTGTCCCAGCTAAGCAGGCTCCTAGCGTGCACCTTTCTTTGTTTATTACTTACATACCCCTTGTATTATTTTCCCATTGTTGCTGTAACAAGTTGCCACAAATTTGTTGTCCTCAGAGGTTTGGAGGTCAGAAGTCTAAAATGGGTCCATGTGGACTTCCCTGGCAGTCCAGTGGTTAAGACTCCATGCTTCCACTGCAGGGATCCCTGGTTGGGGAACTAAGATCCTACATGCCACGCAGCGCAGCCAAAGAATAAAAAAACGGGTCCATGGGCTGCATTCCCTCCAGAGGCCCTAGAAGAGAATCCATGTCCTTGCCTTTTCCAGCTTCTAGAGGACTCCTTTCATTCCTGGATGGCCCCTTCCTTCAAAGTCAGCAGCATAGCATCTTCCAATCTCTCTCTCTGTCATTCCATTGTCACATAGTCTTTTCTGTCTTTGACCCACCTGCCCTCTCTCTTAGAAGGACCCTTATGATTACATTCAGCCTACCTGGATAATGCAGGGTGATCTCCACATCTCAAGATCCTTATCTTAAGAGTCATCTATAAAGTTCCTTTTGCCGTGTAAAATAGCATATTCACAGGTTTTGTGGATTAAGACATGGACATCTTTGGAGGGCCATTATTCGTGCCTTTCTTCTCTGTAATCCTTTTGATCTCCTCTAACAGCAATTGATCACATTAGCTGAAATCAAACTACCCATTTCTCAGCACACTGAGATCAGGACCATCGGTTTTTCCAGGCAATCTTTCATTCATTCATTCAGTTGATCAATATTCATTGAGCACAATTATGTGTCAGGCACTAAACTATGGGCTTGTAGGAAGGATTTGTATTTGCAGTGCTTAAAAAGAACCCCAAAAAACAAATTCCTGCCTAAATTAGAGAAAATTGTGGTCTTCATTATGAAAAAAAGATCTCCCTAATGATTCCTACACAATTCCCTTAACCAAAGTTTTTAGAGAGAAAAATAGAGCAAAATTGGAGAAAATTGCAGGAAAGTAGGGTGGGGGGAGGGATTAGGATTTCCAGGTAAAATATAGGGTGCCAGTTAACTTTGAATTTCCTATGAACAAAGAATAACTTCTTGGTGTAAGTATGTCCCAGGGCAATATTTGGGGCACACTAAAAAATTTTCACTGTTCATCTGAAATTCGAAGTGAAATGGGCATCCTATATTTTTCTTTTTTTGGCCTCACAGCATGCAGGATCTTAGTTCCCTGACCAGGGAGAAAACCTGTGTCCCCTGCAGTGAAAGGTTCGAATCCTAACCACTGGACTGCCAGGGGAGTCCCAAGGGCATCCTGTATTTTTAAAATTTATTTTGCTAAATTTGGCAACCCCAAAGGGATGGGACTGACATTTATGGAGAGCCCAATGCAGGTGTCGATTTTCTACTAAGCACTTTACTACCTGAATTAAATTTCTCTACACAGAAAGCCAGTGAGGCTGGGGACTGGTAACAATCTGTAGAGGCAAATGTCCTCAAAAATCTATGGTGATATTTATCAAGCAGCTCAATGTATTTACTTAATGGGAATTGAAAGAAAGAGGAATGAATACTTCGAAGGCTGAGATGGTTTTACGACTATTGCTGTATATTTGTCTCTTCTTAAAAGCAGCAAAAAATGCAGTAGTTAAAGACAATCTCATTCAGTAAAGATGCTAAAGAACCTGCTTGGCCTTCAAAGGGAAGAGATGCTTTAAGATTAATTCATTACATTAATGCTTCATCATCTGTGCAAGTTGTGATTCAGAGCCCTCTGGCAATAATGAGACAACACATTTATGTGACATAAATATCTCTGAACACTGGGGGATAACCAGAGAAGATAGTGCTGTGTTAAAATGGAAAAGAGGTGTTTTGTTAAGAGCTTTTTCAGCAGGGAATAAAGTACTGATGTGGGAACTGAACTTCAATTTACAACTAAGGATCACATTAAACATACATTAAGATGATTACAATGAAGCTTATTTGTAACCATTATTATTTCATTTTATTTAAGTGAATGGGGGCTTAATAAGAACCACCAAGTGGGCTGCAGTGTCTAAAATCTTCTACCTTCTCTTGCTAATCTGGAAATTTCTACTGACAAACAAAAGGCTACTACTCTTAACAGGCTCCAAGACCAACAGGTCTGTTTTCCAATGAACAGAGGAAGCAATCAGCTTCAAAAACAGTCATGACCTTCAAAAAAGGTCGTGGAAGTTCCTGCAGCCCCTTCAATATCACCTC